ATGTTAAGAATAGTTGTATCAGTTGAACACTGAATTTAGCTTTGAACTTCCTGGCAGCTAAGGCGAAACACAAAACACCATTAGGCACACGACTTTCCTTAATCTATGAAATAAGTACGCTGGTTTATTAGGAGAGATGGAAATTTTCCTACCATTCACTCTAAGGATTGTGGGTGAGACTGTTTTCTGGGCACACGCCTGCCTACACTTTCCAGATGGCCTTGCAATTGGGACGGGAACCTGGCCCACAAAACCTTTCCCCATGTGCTCCTTCATGCTCTTTCCCCATGACTAGCTTGACATATGGCCATTGTGGAAGGAGGAAGATGGAAGGAGCCTGGGGACCAGAATCCCTACTTGGAGCTGCCTGCCTATTAGAAATATCTGCTCTCTATATGAGCAAGAAATAAGTCTTTATCATGAATGTGCTATTATATATTTTACACAGTTTGCACACCCTATAAAAATAAAGATTTTCTAATTTTGGAACTTTATTGGATTCCATAATATACAGTTTTTAACTATCAGTCTTACCTTAAAAATATATTTTTTAAATGATCTTCATGGGCTGTCTCATATTTTGACAGAGGCAAGCAAAATCTAACAGTTCTGAGGAAAGGGAATGAAACAAAGTTGGGTGATTTTATTTATGTGTTTGGAATGGTGATGTCTGGGGTAGAAAAGAAAGAAGCAAGAGGTAAGAATAGCTCTGGAACATGAGCCATAGCCAGAAAGACCTGTCCATTTGGGTAACTTAATAGTGAAGATACAGTGAGCAATGAGAAGGCGGGTCCCTAATGAACTGGGAGAATCCTGACAGTTTGGAAAGAAGGATAAATAATGGAAAGGTGGGAATCTGATTGTCTGTATATTTTTTTTCAATCTCCTAGCCTTTTAATAGATTAGCCCCACCTCACTTTAAAAATACAGACCAACACTGTCACCACCAAGCGGGTTCCTCATTTCTCCTTCTCATTCCTGGGAGAGGTAAGGATGGAAGGGGTGGGGCAGGAGGTCTTGGGTTTTTTGGGGGGGGTTAATATGATTTATTTAATTGTAAATGTATGTGATTAAATTTTTCGTAACAGTTACTGTCTGTATTCCCTTAGAGTCCAGCCTACCCAGCAGGGCATCCGAACTCTCATCTTTGTCCTGTTGGTACAAGGAAGCGTTGTTCATAGGCTCTACTGTAGACAGGAATCTTGGGAATTTTATAAAGACAATCAAGCATGAAGATATCACACATTCTGTGGATTTAATCATTTATTATACCTTAAGCACAATTTTCAGACCTGCAAAAGTGCCTTCTGAATTTCTCTGGTCTTTTTAGATTGTCAGCACAAGTGTATTGTGTTTAGATTCCATTCAGCTCCCCAAGACAAGTTTGTTCAGAGAACCTTCCCCTAACATCTCTGGGGACTTCCTGTTAGGATTTTTATTCTCCCTTTCTCACACTGAACTGTCTTGGCCCTTCCTACTTTAAGCAGAAATAGTTCACCTTTTACATGCGGTTTAGGAGATTTCATTTCAAGCTATTTAACCTAAAGATTTAGTAGGACTTCAGCAAACGGCAGCATGAAGTAGACAGGGTAGGGCCAGGCCATGGCTCTGGGCCAGAAAGAATGTACCAGGAGGTGATACAGACACAGTTGCTGACAGAGGCAGGTCAGGACCCAGTCCAGTGAGTCCAGCAGTATAGGCAAACTAGATACAGGCCAAATAGGCAACAAGGCTTCCAAGATCAAAGAGCAGACTGTCCTGACATGAAGTGGTCAACAATGGAGAAATAAAGAAAAGAAATATTCAGAAACCTACATAGCCACAGTCTTGGAAGAAAGTCAGTATACATCAAGTCTCAATGCGGCTTTTCCAAAATTCCATTTCCCTTGGACCATAATTTCTATTTCTCAGAATTCCTATAAAATTAGCAAATCACAGCCATCCTTCCTCACACAGTAACTGACTTCTGAAGTATCTAAGAAAATGTAAAATATGTTTGACATTAAAACAATATGAATATCCAGAGACCACATCATTTCTCTAAGCATTACAAGTGCTACAGGAAAGTTTAAGTAACAAGCATTTTACAATTCTATGAATAATACAAGTTTCATTCCCTGCGAGCTGATATATGACTTTTTGGGCACCATCACTTGAAAGAAAAAGAAATCCACAAGTTACTTTTCTAGTACTTCTATCCAGATAACTTCTTTGTTCTAAAGAAGGGGTTCAAGACATCACCTAAAATCTTTCACATGCTAATAGAATATGAAGACATGGAAAGATGATGCTTTTGTACTCTTCTATGTGAATTTGTGTCTTTGCAACACATTGCTTCCATTTCCTACCCCAATTAAAAGGAATGTAAAAGCATAGTTGTGAGTGTTATTCAAAGCTTAATTTTTTTTTAGGAAATGCATGAGTTAAAATTAAGAGAATGTTAAAGACCATATTGTTCAACCTCTACTCACTGAACATATAATACCTATGTTAATTGAGCACTTTTTCTGTGTCAAGCACTCTTTCGAGTGCTTTCCGGATAACACCCATTTAATCCTCACAACAACCCTATTATTTGCACGTTAGAAACAAAGGAAACTGAGGCTCAGAGAGATTAAGCAATTTGCACAAAGTCTCATTGTCGGTGGCAAAACTGGGACTCAAATCCAAGAAGTCTGACCCCTGACTCTTATACACTAAGTGATTCTGACTCGTATACCATCATGCAATAAACATAAGCATTACTCACTTCATTGCTAAATGTTACTACTAAGATTTATATGGTATGTAATATCTCATTTGGAAACATATGTGAAACATTGACTGCAGGAAGACTCAGCTTCCCATTTTTCAATAAAGCGTTGCTACTGCTATTTAAAGACATGGACTTTACCTACTGTCTGAAAACTCTTCAGCCCCAAATAAGCAATCTGGGTACAAAAAAACAAAATAGATGAAAGGATCCAGTGCCAGAATCGTGGCATTCCAAGAGCATGTCTTTAGTGACTGGACTACAAATCACTGACTTTGGGGTTCTGTGTTGCAGGACAGCCCCTGAGGGCAATTTTTCTTTTCACAACAGTCTACACCTGTGGCCTGTGGGCCCAACGCTCATGGCAGATGGAAGAGAGTCCACAGAAATCATCTAGTATATGATTCTTCTCTAGGTGTCCATGCTGTGTGTGGAAACGGTGTTGTCTCAAGGGCCTGCCTACCTTTTATTCCCGGTTGTACATTTGCCATTGGATCGTTCCATTCTGTCTGTTGAATCTGGTAAAAATCGATGGACTTCATTTTTTCTTGAAGTATGCCTGCAAAGGTCAATTTTTTTTTTAAATTACATTTTTAAAAAAGATTGTAATTAGATTGTCTAGGTTCATGCAAGCCCTGAATAGCAATTTCTTTCTCCCTTTTGGTCCATCAGTGGTACCTGCTGTTCCAACTGGTTAATTTCAAAATAAGTGATCCAGCCTTTGAAACATTTAAAGTTAAAAATATATATATCTTGAGATCCAATTTTCCTATTTCACTGGGTTCACTCCAGACTAATTGGTAATTTGAAAAGAACACCCACCCCTAACCTTTTATAGCAGTTTCACTTTCTAACACATTGACTTTATACAGTTGACCCTCCTAATAGACCCTAGCGTTCAACTTTGTGTTCTTAACACCAGAAAAAAACTGCCACATTTCTGTTCATTCCAAAGTCAAAGCTGTCATAGTCTGTTGTTACGTTTTTCTGAATGTCCTCAAGCTGTCAAAATGTTTGCTATGTCTATCAAACCATGCCAGATTCATCTGGGGCATTGGACATGAGCATCACTAAAACCCTTCAGACAAATGGGTTTGGATGAACTGCAAATACCTGAAGATTAAAATGAGAAAAGTGTAGGGCAGAGCATGTCTTTGCTACTAAATATGATAGATTCTATTAAAAAGAAATGATTGATACTATTGGGACATTCTCAACACAGGTAAAATTTAACTTGTTATACAAAACAGGGTATAGTAGAGTATTTCAGTGGTTAGCAACTCTTTTTTTTTTGGATAGGTAAAGATTAAAATTTGTGCCAACTACAGGCCAAACTGTGAGATTTCATCATGCTTTATTAAGTTCAAGGTGGTATTCCCAAACATTGTATGTCTGTTTCAAATTAATGACATTCTCAAGCACCCCAGAGGACATTCTGAAGCCCTGAGATCATATTTTAGCAACTGTAATGCAGCAGGAAGGATGGAGGCTCACGTCTACCTAAATTCCACAGCACGGAAGAGCACTTCTTCCTATCAGCATGAGAAGCTAAGAATCATTTTGATATATGCTGTTCATTGGGCATAGCTGCAGGATTCAAAATTAAGATAGAGAGAAGGAACTTATTCATTTATAGTTAAAATTCCTATGGTTTATTTTATATGTAGAATTAAAATTTTTTAAATTGTTTTCATTGGCATTGCTCCAATATTTGCAAAAAGAGTGGCAGACTGGTCCCTCCCATGGGATCTGGGACAATGAAGTGCCACAATCTGCTTTGAAAAGGAGCTGCGTCGCTGGGGTGACGCAGGGGAGAATGTTTGCACACCGGGAAGTGGCTATTTGCATTTCCAGAGGGATACTTCCATGTTACCCGCAAGGACAGTTATTATTGGGAGCCACCCTAGAGATCTGGCTTCCCCCTGTCACCGTCGTAACTTTCTGTTTTCCAAAAATATGTTGATCTCTAAGAAAAAAATTTGTCCAAGAATTCATTTTCCTTCCTGGATGGTAATGATATTCAACAGCAGCAATTTCATACTAAATAATATTATTTGTCCTGAAGAACTGAGGGGTAAAGTTACTCTGGTGTTAAATCCAGGTCTGACCAATTCTTTTCAGTTCCCTGTTTTAACCATTAAGTATATTTAAAAAAAAAAAAACTTTTAAGAGAAAAATCTCTTTCTGTTTCATCCTGCTCTCCTTCATGAGCAACTCAAAGTCTCCAGGAAATAAGATTAACGCTTACCTCAAAGGCTCTTTGTATTTGGACAAAGTCGCCCAGGCTGAGTTGGTTTTCAAGCAGGGCTATGCAGACATGTTCCTCTGCAGTTTCACCTTGTGAAATTCTCTCTGGGTTCTCTGGCCCGGGCTGGGATCCTTCGTTCAACTCAAGGGTAGCATTCTGGCAACTCATAATGGCTTTACCTCTTTTTAACAGCCGTTTTAACAGCCGTCAACTCTCTAAGTATTTTTCTATTTCTTTTTCTTTTTCTTTTCCTTCAACAGGTGCCTTTGAAAAGAAACAACTTAGCAATCGAATTCCAGAATCAAAGTACATTTCAAGGTACTCAATTAGGAGGCAAAAAGTTCAAGCCCAGAGGTAGGGAATGAAAGCTCCCAACCCCCACACTTCCTTAATTCCACAGTTTATTTTCAAAACCCACTGTTGAATTGTTTTAAAACGTCCCCTCCTTATACTCTGTTTAACCTGGCTTGATTTTAAAAAGTGTAAAAGCTTCCCCTGTGTTTATAGCAACTGACACAGAATGCAACATCTAATACTCATTTTAAATGCATTAGAAAAGCAATTTCTCAAAATCTCTTTGGCTAACCTTGCTTCTATTCACATGTTGTGGTTTTAAAGTCCATTTTCTTGTGTGGAGGCGTGAGGTAACACAGCTGCAAGGTTTCCCCCCCAGTGAAGCGCTTGCCTCTGAAGGCCACCTTCCCAGCAAAGTGGCCTTGTTTGTTTCATCCCTCCCTGCTGCCTTTGTGTGCTTCCTGGCAAGCAACATAAAGCCCTTCACCTCCCCAGCTAATGAATGACCTGAAGGTTGGAATATACAATGTAAACATTGAGGCTTTTTCAAAGGGCAATTCAGCGCACTCATTTTTAATTAAATTTCAGCCCTGCATTATTTAATGACAACTTTTATAAATACATTTTTTATGAAGCCTGTTATGTATTATGAAACAAGATGATTAGCCAAAGAAAAGAGCAATGAATTTAGGAATGTTACATTTTCCATATAAAAAAATGTTTCATTCTTATTTAATAAGAATCCATTCCTATATTCTCTTTGTCTTAGTTTCTATGTATATAAAATGGGGATGGTTTAGCATAGGCTTCCAATTCATTGAAAGTACGTGGTGGGGGGGGAACACAGCATAACATAATATGATAAACCTTATGATAAAACTACTTACAGTACCATCACTGGTTCAGCTAATATTAATGAAAAGGAAGGAAAAAGGAGAAAGTTAATATTTTGTTTTAGTATTTACCATATGCCGGGCACTACACTAAGAACTTTGTAATTCCTTATCTTGTTAAAGCTTCACAATAACCCTGCAAGGCAGACAAGATCACTCTTCCCACTTTACAGATGAAGAAGAAACGTAAAGGCCAAAGGCCATGCAGCCAGTAAGGCGTGGAAAACGACAGAGTGGCTCTGCCTCCGGAGCCTGCCCTTTAGATGGAGGCCATCTCTGCACTTTATTTTCATCTCTGTAAAACTGAAATGTTGTCACTAGATATTCTCTAAGTTCTTTTTCCTACAATTTCATTCAATGAGCTAGTGTTCACAGGCACGTGGTGGTACAAAGCACACTCCCTACAACACAGAGATGCAAGTATCCCAAGGCTTTCCTGGACCAGTTTTGGAAAAAAAAAATGAAATATCATTCATGCAGCCATTAATTCATCAATTTCTCTGTCCATCATTCATTCCAAAATCCATTTACGAAGGACCTGGTGCCTACCCGTGAGGGGTTTACAGTCTTATAGGAGCTGTTACCTGTCTAGTTCATCTTTCATGCCAATCCCAACCTCTTGCTGTCTATAGTGCTGTGTTGAGAAGAATCGTGAAGTTATACGTAGGCTCAGAGGAAAAGAGTGGCATTATAAATTACAGACGTGTATCATGGGGACAGAAGGGCTGAGGGAAGCATATTTACCACACATTTGCCTTTCCTGGTTTAGCCCTTCATGTAAATTAGAAAAACAACTTTAAGCCCTAATATGATAAATTTCCCTAAATCATCTCACATAGGGACAAAATTTGTCTTCTTACCATCCTAATTAGTAAATTAATAATAGTTTAGTTCAGCCACATCAGTCCTATAAATGTCTGTAAAATGTTTTATGGTGATATGTTGAGGAGTTGGGCTTAAATAACAGACACTAAAGAGGGAAGGAAGAGGAAACAGAAAAAGTATTCTGTGAAGCTGCACAGGGAGAGGTAGGCATCCCACTGGATGACGATGCAAAATTCTCTAATTATTCTAAGACAGTCAAACTGCCTGGACTACTTAGTTTTCATAAAGATGCAGCTGTAAATGTTTTCATTAGTCAAAACAGGAGAGTATAATGAACAGCTAACAAATTACTGTGGAAGTTAATTAACTGACACAGTTTTCTTTCGGTAAAATCGTGGCATTAGAAATCATTCTTGATCATAAAATCTTCGATGGCTTTCACCTTCTTTGTAACTGTGTGGTTAATTTTCAGGTTAAATTTCCACTGCTCTGAAAAGTCCACAACTAGCCTCTTGCTGATACTGAAATTTTCCTTCTTGCCTGCCATGAATCAATTATGAGTTTGTGAAAATCTGCCACGTGCCCAGTGCCATCCTAGGCTCTGTGGGGAACGGTGCACTGATGAAGACAGTCTGTGCTCTCAAAAAGTGGAAGGTTCAGGACTTCACTCGTGGCACAGTGGTTAAGAATCAGCCTGCCAATGCAGGGGACACGGGTTCAAGCCCTGGTCCGGGAAGATCCCACATGCCGCGGAGCAACTAAACCCGTGCGCCACAACTACTGAACTCACGTGCCACAACTACTGAAGCCCACACGCCTAGAGCCCATGCTCCACAACAAGAGAAGCCACCACAATGAGAAGCCTGTGTGCCACAACAAAGAGTAGCCCCCTCTCGAGGCAACTAGAGAAAGCCCGCACACAGCAATGAAGACCCAACACAGCCAAAAATAAATGACTAAATAAATAAATAAATAAAATTTTTTTAAAAAAGTGTAAGCTTCAGTCTGGAGAGAAAGCTGACTGACCGACGGACACTTGCTCTCTTCTCCGGTAGGGACCAGCCAACAGCTTCTAGCATAGCGGAGCACTCAGCACCCAAGAGGACAATGCAAGCAGATACATCCACTAGCTTTTGCTTTTCTTGGAACCTTGGGACTGAATCATTCTCCCCCACTGAACAGACACTTCCATACGTGTCCTTGTCACAACTTCCAGTCCACCCCCAAATCCCTGCGCTCTTCCTCCCCCGAAATTCATCCGCACCAACACAAATGCAGGCCCTGTCTTTCCTCTTAATTTCCCTTCCCTTTTGTTCGTCCTCCTGTCACCCCGGACCTGTTCTTACTAACATTCTTAATCTTTGCCTAGAATTCTCCCACCACCTCCTTCCTATAAGAGAAAGCCGCTTCCCCTTATAAACCCCATTTCCCACCAAACCATTTCAAGCTGAAGCTCCTCCTTGGCCCAGGCTCCGTCCCTCAGGGTCAGTGGAAAGGCGTCTTCTCACGGTCTCTTCGCTTCTTGAACCCACACCTTCCCAACATGGTACCAGTGGCCAAACACCCCTACAGCCCTCCCCCTTCAGCCCCCAGCTCACTTTAAACATCACCTGCTCCCAGAGCCTGAAAGCACCAGCCCAGCCTTTGGCACCTTTATTTTTTAATAGATCTTTATTGGAGTATAATTGCTTCGCAATACCGTGTTAGTTTCTGTTGCACAACAAAGCGAATCACCCATATGTATACATATGTCCGCATACCATACCTCCCTCTTGAGCCTCCCTCCCACCCTCCCTGTCCCACCTTTCTAGGTGGTCACAAAGCACGGAGCTGATCTCCCTCTGCTATGCAGCTGCTTCCCACCAGCCAATTATTTTACATTCGGTAGTGTACCTTTTAAGCCCTCAATACTAGTTTCTTTCCTTCCTTGTTCCGGATCCTCCTCGTTCAAATTAATTCCTCCTTCCACTCTGCAACCACAGCATCATGTTTACACTTTCACTACAGCAGTTTTTCTTTCTGCCTTGCAATATAATTAGTTGCCTTTGTATCTATCTCTCTCCCACAACATTAACTCCCTGAGAACAAGGATGGTACCTCACTAACGCCCATAGCCCTACATTGCCCAACGCAGAACTTTGTATAAACTACACAGTGGTATGGTCATGTGTACTCATTTGTAAAATAGGATGGGCTGAAAGCGAAATTCTCCTATAGTTTTGAGTTTTCAGTGCCGGGTCCTGGGAATGGGTGGCACTGAGTCCGAAACGGAGGCAGAATTCCACACAAAAAAATTAATGAGGGAAACAAAGTTTGAGGTTGTATCTTCAAGGCTCTTAGAATAAACTGTTCAAGCACTTTTGAAACAAAGCATTTGTTTTTTTTAAATTTTTATTTATTAAAAAAAAAAAAAATTTTTATTTATTTTTTGGCTGTGTTGGATCTTCATTGCTGCATGCAGGCTTTCTCTAGCTGCGGCGAGCGGGAGCTACTCTTCGTTGCGGTGCGCGGGCTTCTCATTGCAGTGGGTTCTCTTGTGGAGCACAGGCTCTAGAGATGCAGGTTTCAGTAGTGGCCCATGGGCTCAGTAGTTGTGGCTCGTGGGCTCTAAAGCACAGGCTCAGTAGTTGTGGCGTACGGGCTTAGCTGCTCCGCGGCATGTGGGATCTTCCCGGACCAGGGCTCGAACTCATGTCCCCTGCATCAGCAGGCAGATTCTCAACCACTGCGCCACCAGGGAAGCCCAAGCATTTATTTTTATACACACAATTTCTACGTAAGATGCTCCCGTGTTGAGGCCCTACTCTGTCCCAGGCATTGCTTTAGACACCAGAAAAGCAAAAATGAATTAGACACAGCTCTGTGCTCACTGTTGCTCAGAGACATATAACAGTAAACACTGGTTTTAAGTTAATTTTACCTTTGGACAAAGCAGGTCCCCTGTTAACTCTTAGGCAACAAAATATTTCCTTTTTTTGATCTGCTGAACAATGTCTAAAGTAAGAAAACTATATTTTTATAACAGCATTTCTCAGGCTGTTCAAGTATTTAAACACTGAGAATTCATGAAATAATGATATCCTGAAATAACTAAATGTATCATTTTGCAATAAATTGCAAATTGTTATATGTCAAGTTCTAGTCTAAGCAAGCAGTTGTAGACAAATTTTAAAATATATGGAAGTGGAGCTTCCCTGGTGGCGCAGTGGTTGAGAGTCCGCCTGCCGATGCAGAGGACACAGGTTCGTGCCCCGGTCCGGGAAGATCCCACATGCCGCGGAGCGGCTTGGGCCCGTGAGCCATGGCTGCTGAGCCTGCGGGTCCGGAGCCTGTGCTCCGCAACGGGAGAGGCCACAGCAGTGAGAGGCCCGCGTACCGCAATAAATAAATAAATAAATAAATAAATAAAATATATGGAAGTG